CTTTTTTCAATTGTAGTTGGTATTTTATGCCTTTCTGTATTTTACAGTTTTGAATGAAGATTTTTTGTCTTGCCGCGAAGTAAGAACTGAACTGATTGAATGAGAAATGTATCTCTAATGAAATTCGAGGAATTAAGTTTAAATGAAATGCAGTAAAAATGGGTATAATTTAATAGGCCGTACAAGGAAGTAATGTGATGACCATATCAGACTTTTTATGTTTAAAAATTAGTTTCTTTGAAAAATTTTCTCAGCTCTTTGTTTGCACTGTTCTCAGAAACTGAGATATTGAAAGAACCATGTAACAACTGCCAGGGATGCACTCGGAAGCGTTAGCTAACGAGGTTCGAGTCTTTTTTTTTTATCTTAAAAATCCGTGTATCGTTCTCGGAAAGCTACATGATGTCATGTCAAGAAGAATTTCTGAAAATAGAGGGAATGTTTCTATTGGATAGGACTTAGGGTGAGGTTTCTAATATTTCAAATGGTCAGGCCATTTCTGATTTTAAATAGTGCTCTAAAAGAATTACTGAAAAACAAATCTTCTCAGAGATCATTTAACATCTTAAGAGTATAAAAGTAATATGTGATTTTAAATTGTTTATTTACTTTTATTTACTAAAGTGAAGAATTATTGTTTATTCTCTTAATTAAGAAAGCGTTTTTAAAGATTAAATTTTGCTACAGTTGAGTCCAGCTTATCCGAAATAATAGAGTAGGGTCACACTAGATAATACTCTCAAGTAACCCATGACAAGAAAAGGCAAAAGCAATTATAATGCTGTGAATTAAATATATATATTACAATATATTTTAGGTTAGTTTTTATTATTATCATTTTTTTTATTTTACAGTTCTTAATGAAGATGTTCTGAGTTTTTATTTATTTTCGCCATAAAAGAAATTCATTTAAAGTTAGAATTGAATTCATTGACTTGTAGAGTCATTATTATTATTATTATTATTATTATTTTAAACAGGAGACGTGAAAAACGTGCAGGGACTCGAACCTGGATCTCTAGAATACGCGTCGAGTGTGCTACCGTTAAGCCGCGAAGGCATCTGTTGGAATGAGGGAGAAAATACCTTATATACTCCCCCTTTTAAATGGGGACTGGGGATCGGGGGATCCAGTCGTTAGATTGTCTACGTTAGCTATATAGAAGTCACGTGACGACTGAGATCACATGAGTGCATCTAATTTATTCTAATAAGGGGGTCATGTAGAATCCACATCAGATTTTTTTTAATTGTGTTTCGGCCTTTGGCAACTTTTGCTATGTCTTGATCTGCTTAGTCATGTTCGTTTTTATGATAAATAAAAATTGTTCTTTTTATACGTACATTCTCGATATTCATGATATTTTTTAATGAAGTTTTTACGTTTTTCCACAGAATGCATTTAAATGCACAGTTCTTTAAGCATTTTTTTTTTAATCTTAAATCTTTATTGACCTTTAAACCTTTTAAAAAATGTATAATATAGACCAGAGTTTCTTAAACTGTGGGTCAAAATTTCTAGCAATTTAGATATATTTTTAATGATAGATATATTTAGATATATTATAATGATTTTACACTTACTAAATATTTTCACATAATGTATCTGAAAGTAGATAAAGATACTACAATACAGACAAAAAAAAGTTTCGACGTATTTTTTATAATAGAAACGTTTATTTTGCTACAATGATATGTTACATTACAAGTGAAAAAAATGACAGTTTCACTCACGCGTGTGTCGGATTTGCGCAATGCTTATAGGGTCCCGCAAAATTTTTGTAAATATTATGGGGTCCCCCCCACACCAAAAAGTTTAAGAAACGCTGATGTAGACTATAATTAAAACAGAACACTTGAAAACTTTAATGTTTTACTTTTTTTCGATTATTATTTTTAAATTACTAAAATGACTTAGAAAATTAATGTTTTAAATGAATAGTATTACAGTTTAAACTTGTGAATATTTAAATGTTATGTCAGTTCTAAGAAAGAATTGTGTGTTTGTGATTATGGCAAAGCCTCGAGGGCTATCTGCCTACGGAGAGGGATGCCTTCGTGGAGGACTTTCTAAGGGAAACTGGCTCGTATACACGTTACACATGGGGAACCACGAAAACGCCCATGCAGCCAACCCGTTCGCGGGATTCGAGCCTCGGACCGAACTACCAGTGTTCAGCGACTTTACCGCTCGGCCGCTGGTCGGCCCTCAGAAAGAAGGAAATAAATCTAATATTCCCATAAATAATAAGAACTTTTCCTTTTCAGAAATTTTGTTTCGTAATAAAATATATTCTAATTTAATGCTTATGCCATCGTAATCCCAAAACAGAGCTAATCATAAAATGACTCTGTAAAATTGTAATTAATTCACCAAAAATATATAAAGTATGCTCTTCGGAAGTTAAACAGTAAATTGTTATTATTATTTTTTTTACATCTGAATTATTTTTTGCTACATTTTTGGTGAACGAAAGTATAAATTTTTCCTTTTATGTCTAATTCGGCACATGCGCGCTTTTCAATAGCTATTAATGCAAGCTTCACAACTCTTACTTATGACATACACGTACGTAAATAAGTCTCAATTTTAGTTCAGTAAAAATTTCTGCACTTTTTGCAAAACAACAGACAAAGCCAATAATAATATTAATAAAATGATCTATTTAGAAAAGACAAATCGCTAGATGTAATTAATTGCAGCATGCCAGAAGGATTTTGACTTTGTAAATGTCTAAAAAAGTATATATTTTTCGATTCCCCCCCCCAATTGTTGCAGTTTTTCTATAGACTTTCTTTACCAGTTTCTGATAATTTTTTCCGCCTTCAATGGCGGGCCCTCAACCGAGTTTGGCTTGGCCACTACTAAGGCCAGAAGTGGCCGTCACTTTATTATGGAGGCACCCAATATGTGAGCCCCCTTTGCCTCCAAGAAAGGGACGGATAGTTAAAACCATGCCTTCTCCGGGATTCGAATTTGGGCCCTTTGGTATCGCAGTCGGCTTCCCTAACCGCTATACCATCTGGGCGGCAGTTTCTGATAAATTGTATAGAAAAAGCAAAGTAACCAGTCTTCAATTTTAATAATTTTAATAATTTAAAATATTCATTTAAAGATATTTATGCAACATCTAAAAGCGTATAAAATGCATTAAATTTGCGTTTAGGAGTTTGTACTGATTCTTTTTGTTTGTTGGTACCCAAATTGATGTGCTTTTTGTTTTCGTCTGATTGTAACTCAAGATTTAAGTTTAAATTCTCCATTTAAATCTTCACTTTTTTTTTTTTTTTTTTGTTTGGAAGGAGGCAGTTTTAAGCCTATTGCTGTGATTAGAATTTGATCTGCATTCCAATAAAAATGCTTATTTCCCTTCAATAAATTCTGAAAAAAATTTAATATTCATAGATTTATCTTGTCCAAGTTCTATATTTCAAGTTATTTGTTGATAGGGTTTATTCTATTAAAAGAATTGTACCAAATTATCACAGTGAAAATAAATTTAAAATCTTTCACTTTATCTTATAAATGTCATGCTTCATGTTATACGGCTTTATTAAAAATATTGTTATTCATTATTTTATAAAATTCGTCATAACAAAGATAATCATTGAGGCACTTAAATGTGTGTATGAGCTTTTAGACTACACAGATGAATAAACTGAGCCTGAATTTAAAGACATCATAGCGTTGCTCAGAACTCATATATTGATTACATGGTTCTAAACAGATTAATTAAAGTATATTTTCAAAAAGAAATGTTTATAATATACACAGGATCGGTGGTACGCTTTCTGTTGTCCAATGCCTATAGAAATTTCCTACCGCTAAATTTTGCCGCCAGGTGATGTTGCAATGACTTTGACGTCGGCCCTGTACATGTGTAAGTTTATTATAATATAAATGAAATCTTAAATAGTATGTCATGCATTTAACATCGCATTATTGTATTATTTCGAACTGAAGCCGGACGTTTTATTCATATTTTTAAGATGTAAAATTAGAAAATTGTTTAATATATAATAATAAAGCAAATACGTAATAAATAAATGAATAATAAAGGAAATATTTTAAAAACTTATTTCTGTTAATCTCTTTCTCCCAGAAATCGGGTCTTACATAATTAAAGTCTTGAAAATCAAAATGGTTTTATAACAGGAATTTATGAATGCTTGTTGTAAAAGAATTTTTATTTGTTATTTGTTTTCGAATTTTTAGAATTCTACTGAGCTTAAATTCGAGGGCGGCTTAAATACGAAGCAACATGATATGTGCTCCGGCATCACAGCTTTTGCAAATTTTTAGAAAAAGTCCAGAATTAGACGAAAAAGAAAGAATTTCTTATCCGTTCATCTTAAGTATAGAAAAATGAAAGTTCAGATATAAGAAAATTAAAAAAACTTATTGTTTAATTAATTAAATTTTTATACATGGATGTTTAATTAATTTTTAAATTATTTATTTATTTTTTGTTTAAAATACAATTTAATTGTATAAAATATGGTTTTGTTATTTTATTTCTTCTTGTAAATTCTCTTCTCTTATTGGTACAAACGAAAATATAAAGCGCATTTTTTTAAATTTGCATGTGGCAGCAACAGCAAGTAGAGAAAAAGCCGGTACTCTATCGACCCCGCTTTCTGTTGTAGGTATTGCAAGGCTGTGCAAATGTGTCAGAGTTTAGCACATTTTATGAGGTTATTATTATGATTGGAACTATATAAATGATTTATTCGGCTATTAAAAATCATTTTTATAACGTTTTCTATAAAATACGTCACAGAACTACTATTAGCTCTGCAGTACGTTAGGAAAACTTTACAAATACTACATTACACGACAAAGTTTCATTTCAGAAATTTTGCCGTGTAATGTAATATTTCCACTTCACATTTATTGCCTATACAGCATCTAATTGGACGAAGCCTAATGTTATATAAATCGATTTTACCCATATTTAGTAGGTAATATTTAATAACAAACTGTTAAAAATATTTCTTACCAATAAAATGCTATCTGATCTCCATGTCCAAGTTCTATATTTCTGTCCAACGCGTTGTAGCATATGTTAGTGGTTGCTCCTTTCATCCACTCTATAAACACTTTACCTTTGGTGACATCTATATTATAATTGACGATATTTTTGGAAGGAATAGCGGTTTTCCAGTAAAAGGGAGCTGCCGCTTCTGCCCAGAATGTATCAGGATCTTCCAAGGATTTCTTATGCATTCTCCAGAAGTCTTTCAAACTGCCTAACCTGGATTGGGTGCACTGTTCTTCTGTAGCCACGAAAGCATATTTACTGTTTTGATAGTCACCGTTGACAAAGCCGTTCAGTCTGGGAGCTTGGCTGCTGTCCATTGTTATTATTTTATTGTTTCCCGTTACCAGTATAACTCACACAAAATGCGTTCTGATCCGAGCTAAATGGAGAAATAATGAGAAAATGAAGAACTGTTATTTCATGTTTGAAGGAAACAATCGCTTGAACCTCCTATTGGCTGGCAGCTGACGGTGGGCGTGATTAGTTCTTATGTGCTACTATTCTCGCAAACTTCCCTACAAACAGCATTAGCGACATCGGGGCATTTCGTGTAATATAATTCAAGTTTCGGTAGAGGTTTAATGGAGCTTCTTGTATACTACCTAATTACGCTTTTACGTTTTTCGTACGTATTTTTTATTTAAAAATTTAAGCGAGATATGCAGTGCCCGCTTAATGAATTGAAAACAGAAAAATAAACAATTTTGTGACCCGCGTAGATAAAGATCCGTTTGACCTTACGTCGTCGAGTGTTAACATCTTCTGAGGGTTTTGAACTAGCAGTTAATAAATCCGATAAACAGATTATTGGTGCTATTTCAATGCCTGAGACTCGATACTTTTTTATGTATGTATTTGTGCTATCAGATATACTTTTTTCGCTTATTTTTTAGTTAATAAGAAACAGGGAATTGAACTTGCTTTTTTCATGACGCTTCTAGCATACTATTGGCCAATCGTTAAAATTCGAGAATTCAAGTCCTAGTGAATGGCTTGGCTGCATGAGGGTTTTCCTCATGTAACGTAAATACGAACCAGTTGTCTTTTAGAAAGTTCTTAGTTTCTTCATATGGAAAACTTTCTAATAAAAATTAGATTTTTCCAGCATTGATCTTAAATGGCCGATTTTTTGTGCTCATATTTTACCTAAACAATGTTATGAATCTTGTAGCTCTGTAGCATTAATATTAAATACGTAAGCCTGAACTTTTAAATTGCTTACTTAAAACTTTTAATCATTAATGCACTGTTATAAGTTGTTGTATTTATTAAATTTGTTTTGCATTATTGCAATTATTATATTTTAATTTCGTGTTTTGTCTTGTTTTTTAAGATAAGACTCTGCTTTTTTATTACGGCACCAAGGTACACCTGTATGTCGATGGTCTTCAGCTTATGATAACTGTATTTAAATTTTAAAAAAAGCAAATGTGATTTTTTTCTCTTTTTTTTGTTTGCTATTTAGTTTCTAGGAATGACGCAGTTTCTAATTTGTAAGCTGTAAATGATTACTTAAGAGATGATACAGAAAAATAAATTATTCCTGATATGTATCTTTTGTGTGCATGGTTTACGCGCACAAATTATGAATGATCATATACGAAAGCCAAACGAAAGGAATAAAATAAATAACTTATATAATACCTAGCTACGAATATAGCTTGTAGGGTTTATATTTATTTTAACTAACATTTATTTTAAGTTTAAACTATTTTTCCTGTCAAGCCTTACTTTCCCCTTTTTCCTGTCAAGCCTTACTTTCCCCTGGAATTCCCAATGCCAGAGTATGTAAATTTTAGTAGAACGCGCAAGGATTCAAATTATCAGCGGAAGTATTCTGAGTTAAATAGAAAGGAAACGAGTTCGAAGTGTGCTTTCTTGCTTCACGAGTGTGGAAGTGGCTAGTTAGAAATCGAAGAACCACGCGTTTCGGCCTGTGTGCTTGCCTCGGCAAATTGTTAATCTTTCAACGTAATATTCAGAGTTTGCTGAATTATCAGCGGTATTGTAGAACGCGGTGAGGCTTTACGTTTAGACAGCCTCGTAGTTAGTCGCTTGTTATTATCTCTTTTTAGTCTCTTATTTTTATTTTACCGCCGGGTCGGCGTAGTTTGTGAGCGTCAAGAGCACGCATTTGTAACTTCTAAAGTTGAATAAAAAGGGACTTAAACCCTTCTCAAGACTCTGTCTAATTTCCAGTTTTCAGCAGTCACCACTTTGTTGCGTGCAGGTTGGAAGCGCGCAACTTTACAAGCTACAGGAAATCCACAAAAAAGTAATTGCAGCAAAGTGTTGAAAGCTTCGCAGAACAGTGTTCTGTATATTGCTCATAAAGTGTACGTCAGTCAAGCAAATTTGCGTTAATAATATTCTATAAATAATATTCCTACAAAAGACAGATATCTAAGACAGTGGTCTCAAACTCGCGACCCACGGAGCAATTCTATTTGACCCGTGCATGCTTTTCAGTTGTATATTTGGGACACAGTGCTTACAGGTTTAAAGATGGAGAGATATGGATTAAACGTGTGAAGAAACGTTACGTTACTCCCTGCTGTTGAAGGGAAAGAAAGATAAAATGACTATGTTGGGAGCTTTACCTTTGCCACTGTATTATGACTGTACATCAGGTCACGTGATTAGGATAAGGTGGATTAGGATTTCCCAAGTTGGTACAGTATATAAATTTAGTTTTCCAGCAGACAGCTGGTGATGCTTTACTATTCTGAAATTTCTGGTTTTTAATGCCAAGGTTAAAAGTTAAGTTATTTAGTGATTAATTCAATATATTGGAATCATCTGAAATAAATGTCAGTCTAAAAATTTAACATTTAGCTGCAAATGCATTTGAATTCAAGTTATTCAGTGTTACTAATAGATATTTTTTACAGATGCCAGTCTTTAGATTTAAAATAGAAAGAAATATAAATTAAAAAGTTTTTCTTTGTATTATTATTATTATCGTTTATATATGTTTTGATAAATATCCAGTAAGTGAAATTTTAAATGTTTAGTTTTTTTTTTGTTGTTTTTTTAAAAATGTTTTTAAATTTTGTTAAGAAAATGTTCTGCTCATCCATTTTTTCCCAGATCGAGCATAAAATTTGAGACCACTACAGCCTGTGGACCAAATCCGGCCCGCAGTTTAATAGTTTAGCTGGGCGAATATTTAAGGTTTGTGAAGAAGCTAAACTTTCAAAACCTCTGATAAAAATGTTATTCACTAGCGGGCTTGTTATGGGAAACACTTCATTCTGTCATGTATTACTGAAGTAGTTGCGTCAGGGTTAATTTTATCCCCTATCGTTTTATTCACTGTCTTCAGTTTTGTAATTTTGTTCAAAGAGATCGATGCCGAATAGTCTGAAAATTTTTATTGAGATTTTTTGAACTCAGACAAGTAACAGAATTTTTTTTGAATGAGAAAATCTGTCCACAACCACTTTATCGAACAATGAATGGCTATGAAAATTATCACTTGCCATAGACATCGTGGTATATCTTAAGTGAACTCAACTTAAAATTGCTGGAAAAAGCAGTGCTCATGCGTGAAATATACTTTTTTGTAAAGCCATATAGTCGGAAACGTGTAAAATTAGAAACAGAAACCAGATTAAACAAGTTTAATAATTTTCCATGCAGTAAAAAAAATTAAAATACTTTTGCCCCCAAATATTCGTATCGGATATATTTTCTAAGCTTAAACTACAGTTATAACAGCGTTATTTGAATCTAGAAATAAGTTAAAGAGTTGACTAGAGAGAAAATAATGTTTTGGTAAAAAAACTGGTACGAAACCCTAATAGACTTAAAGTGAATTATCGCTCCATCTGGAAGAACTGCAGGGTCTTGAAAAAGGTTCTAAGACAAACTTTTTATTAAATCGGAACTAGAACATGCATACAAACTGCCAACCACTTGTTGCGATGTAACTTAAAGTAACAGTAAATTCAAACTGAAAACTAAGTTTATTAGCCAAAGGCTACACAAATGGTTTAACACGAATTTAGCTCAAACTTCTCACGACGTAACAATTTAAATGTCGGCAGCTTAATACAAAGCCGAAGAACAGAAACTTATCTGAGCTAGCAGAAACCTAGTAACGTCGGCTCGAGAGGCAGAAAAACGCGCTGTCTAATAGCCCAACAACCTCGAACTTGAATACTCTTAAATTAATTTGCATTCTGATGAGAAAAAGGAAAAGGAAGTGACAGTAGAGATCTAAATCAAAGAATAACTGGTTATTCGAAATAATAATAATAATCTTGAAACGTGTAAAAGACATTTCCATATTTCAAAATTCATTTGAATGTATTATTGAAGAGTTTCCGTCATACCTTCTGGAACGTAATTAATCTGAAAAATGATATGTTAAAATAATGTTTACAGAAATCGATCTAAATTAATTCTGTAAATATCTTTCGGGAAAAAACACACGGTAATTAAAACCAAAAGAACAGGGATTTCTATCTGCATTTAAGAGTACTTACCAATGCGAAGTCATTTTCAAAAAAGCAGTATGTAAAGCTGTAACATAGATCATTATTAAAAAATGACAATTTGCTACTAATTTTAATGATAGGATGTATTAAGTTCGAACTTCAGTCTGGTGAAAAAAACCATTACATTCATCGATTTAGTACAAAATTAGATTTATTATGTAATTCGTTTATTAATAAACGGAAATATTTTTGGGTAAGTGTCAGTAAAATGCGTATAAACGTATAAATATATACATATATATATCACACAATCGATTAACATTAATGTGACCACTTGTCAAAAGCAAAAATAACTGCCCTCCGCAAAGCAGACCGCTGCAAGACGTGTAGGAAGAGAGTGAATTAGGTTCTTGAATATGTTCACTGAGATGTTGAGCCATGCCGACTCCAGTGTAGTGGCCAGCTGCGCTAGGTTACGGGGCCTGAGGATTCATGGCGCGAACAACTCGATTGAGGTGGTCCCATAGATTCTCGATTGGGCTTAAGCCCGGGGAGTTTGCTGGTGGAGGAGTACGGTAAAGTCATCCTGGTGCTCTTTGAGCCACGCACGTACACTGCGAGCTGTATGACACTTCACATTGTCCTGCTGGTAGCTCCCATCATTCTGAGAAAAAACAATTCGCATGTAGGGGTGGACATCGTCCGGAAGAACAGATGCATATTTCTGTTGATCCACAGATCCTTCCGCAATGATGAGTGCCCCTAGAGAATGCCAAGAAAACATTCTCCAGACCATAATGCTCCTTCCTTCAGCTTGGACTCTTCCGGCAATTATTGCAGGGTGTTTGTTTTCTGACATTTCATGCTGTATACGCCAACATCCATCTGTCTAATTGAGCATAAAACGTGATTCATCGAAAAAAGCAACCTGTCGTCTCTCAGTGGACGGTACTGCGTGCAAATTTCAGCGTTTGCCGCCAATGAGCTGCAGTCAGCATAGGTGCTTTAACCAGGCGTCTGCTGCGGAGGCCCATACGCAGCAACGTTTTCTGAACTGACGTTAAGGAGACACTATTGGCAACCCCTTGGTTCATCTAGGCGCTTAGCTGCGCGAGGATTGCACGTCTATTCGCCCGAATGCATCTCTGCAGTTGTCGTATGCATCCGTCATGGCGTGGCAAATATGGTGCCCGTGGTTCACCATATATATATATATATATATAATTTTACTACTTTTATTAACAAATTGGGCCTTTTTGTTTTTCATTGTAGCTTGATCGCCCTCTAGCTTGAAGAATTACGACTTTTATTAACAAATGACTGTTTTTTCCTTTTTACTCTTACTTTTGTGGCCATGTTGAATAATTTTAGCTGAATTATCCATTTTCACTTTTAGAAGCAGTTTTTTCTTCAAACAACTTGACTGACGCCATTTTGAAATCTTTCCACGTCTTTCCGAGTTTCCCGACCCCCCTTTGAAAATTAGGGAATAGTTACAGCCAACGGACAGTCTAATCGCATTGGCTGTTGCCTTGTGACATTGTTCCCCTACTTACGTCACACGACAAGTGGGATGGCGATAAAGGACACTGAGGGGAATTGCAACCCCTTTTCAACTTGTTACACAATGGAGAACTCTACATAACCACAGGTTTGTTTTTTCAGTTTCTTTTACAAAAATTTTTTTCTTGGTCTTAGCAAGACCCACTGTGTTTGTTTTCGTTTAAATTTAATTTCAGTTTTCTAAAATTTACAAAGGTGTAATTCTTTAAGCTTGCAGTTCCAGCCCGTAAGTTATTGTATTTTTTGACTAATAGCAGACTGCTATTTATTTTTTTTTATTTTTATCTTAATTCTTGTACAATCGGAATTGTATTTTTACATCTTTTAACACCTTAATGTGTCATTTTGTGCGGAGGCGCCGGGAAATTGGAACAGAGAATTGAGACTAATAAATTTTCTAAGACAATTCGTCTATTTAATTAAAATTTGTAACGCAAAAGTTTCAATTATCTGTTTCGGCGAAACGCGTAATGGAATTAGCTTAATTCGACGTTCAGCTAGAAATTTCCCTTGAAAAGCCAGGTTGGACTTCGGGTTAAGCTAATTTACCCTTTTCCGCTTTATATTTTTATATGTTTATGTTTGTTTTATGTTTTAACTTGTTCCATCGATTGGTTTTTCTATGTTTTAACTTTACACTTGTCACATCGATAGGTATTTACTGTATTTTTTGCTGTTACTAGTTTCCAAAGATTAGTATTTTACTGAGTTTAATTTTACGTGTAGCATTTTTCACCCTTCAATGACATTGTTTTTTAAAAAATGTGTTGAACTCTTCTTGGAGCCACAGCTCCTGGTAACTTTTTGGCGAGCTTTCTACAATTTCTCCTATATATATATATATATATATATTTCCGTTGCTGTTTGCTCTCAGAGCCTAAAAGTTTTACGATTTGACCCGTCACAAAAAAGAGTTTGTCAACCCCTAGTCTAGCATATAAAATAAATGTGCAACTGAAAATAGGTAAAAAAAATCTGATGTGGCCAGCACATGACTTCCTGACAATTCATACTTTAAATAACAACGAGCTTTAAGTAAATTATTGCTTCTGATTCATCGTTTGTAAACAAAATCTAATTTATTGTTCCAAGAAAGAGAAAGATCTGTGATGCAAAATTTTGGATTACGTTTTATTAAGCCATGCGTGAAAACTGTTTCTCTAAATTTATGTCAATGTAATCCAATGTTTGCCCATTAATTTCTTGATTGATTTTTTAATAATTTGAATAATATATGATTTAATTGGATTTGATGAAAGAAATTAAGTGTTTGTAATATATTCAATACTGATACTTTAAAATGAATACCATAATTTAATTTCTTCTATGTTATTGCTATAGTATTAACAAATCTAAAATCATTTTGATCTGTACGTATATGCGCGTGATATTGAGGTACCGGTAAATTAAGCTCTTTTGTTTTTGGAATTGTACTTGAACGGTGATTACCGTTCTGTGATCAATAAAAAGTAAAGAAATAGCCATTTTCGAATATGCAGTTTGTTCTTGTGTCTCGTCATCATCGAAAGTACAAGAGATTAACAAATGCATTTGTATACGCATCGCATTTTTGGGTAACATACCAGCATTAGAAAAGTTTTGAAGTTCTGCAAACTAAATGCTGTTTTAAAACTAATTCTCTTTTAATATAAATAAAATCATATATAAATATAATAAAAATGGCCTTAATAAATGCTGCACTATTTTGGACTAAACAGATTATAGTTATTCTGCATCTTCTCACAAATTTCTGATAATACTTCTAAGTAAAGCACCATTTCAGTTTTATCATATATGATCAGAATTTAATAAATTTTGTCAATCCTGATTGTATACGCATCGTGTGCATCTTACATTCGTATAGGAGTTTTAAATTTAAAATTAAAAAAGTTTTGGATTACAACATAATATATATTTTCCTCGAAAATCTGGTCAATAATAATGTTAGGTGAAAAGACTCTGTCAATAACAGCTGCTTTTAAACAATTTAGTTCTTAATTAAGGGCCGATTTAGAAGAGCAAGCTTGGATTGGAGAGTCTGGAAGAGATTTCCATTTGTCTACAAATGATTTGTATGAGAACGGAATAGAATTGGGTGTCTCAAGTGCAAAAGTGAACTGAATAGCAGGATCAATGAATTCATTATTGAATTTCATTGTTCAGCTTACGTTTGAGCCTGAGACATCCAATTCGAGATCGTCGTTACACGTAACATATTTAACATTAGGGCTACTTTCTACTGTGAATCTTCCTCTGCTTACCTTCCACCACACTTCAAATCATTTCCTTCGACTAAACAGAAGTTAGTTTCATTTTATTCCTTCATTTTTCGTGCAAGTTTGCTCCTGCTATTCGGCTCTTAATCATGAAATAAATTAATTAAAAGCAGTTACTATTGTCAGAGGCTTTAAAAAAATCTCATCTCAACACATCAGAAAGCACCCTTTCATTTTAGAAGATCGTAAGAATTCTATCTTTCCATCGATTAGCTAGAAAATTGTATGTGTTTTACAGAAGTTGAACTTTCGGGCTGCTTTCTGTTCTGTCAGAAAAATCGCAGTTCCGTATTTAAAGAACTCCATATCGGATATGAACTGCTGGGGTATGTACAGGATTCCTGGCCAATGTGGTTTAAGTTATATTGGTCAAACTAAGAGGGCCTTAAATTTCGCGCTTTGGAATATGAGGCATATGTTAGGAAAAAAGGAATGAATAACACTTAAATCTGCTGTTGCCCAACATTATTTGCCAGAAAATACCATTTTTCTATTTTTCCTTTTTACAAAATTGTTCAGAAAACATTTTCCGTTGGATTCTCTAGAAACATTTCAAATTCATAAAATTGTTTCAGGTTTAGTTAACGATCTCCGTTCCAATCCATATTTACCCTTCAGCTTTTAAGGTATTATTTCGTAGTTGTTTTCATTTTTCATCAAAAGATGGCGCTAGTAGCTTGACTCCCTTCCTCTCATTTTTATCACCTTATCTTATCAGGGACTTCTCATTTTTCATTTGCTCTTCTGCAGTTGAAAAAGAAGGTTCTGTATTTAAACATATTCTATTTTCCATATCTCCTCTTTAATACTTTATATTCTATAAAAGGCCGCACAGGCGGTATAGTGGTTAAGGAAGCCTCACTGCGATACCGAAGGACCTGGGTGCAAATCCCGGTGAAGGCATGGTTGCGACTGTCCGTCCCTTTAATAGGAGGCGATGGTGGTCTACCTATTAGGCGCCTCCATAATATAAAGACCACCACATCTGGCCTCGTATAGAGTAAAGGGCTGTGTTACACTGTAACTGTTTACAATCTGCCATTGGAAAAACATTTTATAAAAGGTATAAAAGTAATTTAAATCACTTATACAAAAAACCACAATAATTGTATCACTGTACGTTTCAATAAATCAACAAGTCAAAAGAACGTTCTTGTGGACCTTCAAATGCTTTTTGTTTTTTATATTAATATCTTTGTTACGCTAATCTAAATATTTTGATAAAGTAAGGGTTACGCTATTCAAAAGTCAAAAAGTAAGAAAACCGAAACAATGCAGTAACGCAGAATTATTTGTGCCTGCAGGAGACAGATGGTATTATTAAAATTTCATTGAAAATTTTCTTTGAGATCCACGTGAAATAGAGACAAATTTTTGCCTAAACATATTTTACTTATTGCCTAACATGCACAGTTTTTCTGCATCTTCGATAAGTTTTGAAGTATATTCCGTTTTATTAGCATTCTTTTCTATTCTACCAACAATCAACAAAAGTAAGTTTGCAGTCCAAAGTTGCGCTAAAATAGTGTAGGTAGTGAAAACTTGAGAGGACAATTTTATTAGTTATCTCGAGTCTGCTCATTAAGTTATCAGTTAATTACTGAGTTTCAGCGAAAATGCAGAAGAATCATTACATTTTTCAAAGTTTATTCTTTCGTAATCCATTCTTATCTTTCTAAATCCTTTACAAGTTTTATTGTAAACACAGAAAAATAATTCTTCCATCATCACGTCGTTAATCTTTAATAACAGCAATAATAAACGTTAACAGAAATCATCAAGTGTTAATTAAGTGTTAGTAAACAGTCTCATTTATATAACATACATCTGTAAATTATTAATTTATTCTTATCTTATCGTTTAATTATTCTATAAATATATAAGTATCGGTACATTTAATATTTACGTTTTTTTTTTTTTTTTTTTTGTATGTGATAAATGACTGACAAACAACATGATACTGACTATATTCTACGTAGGACAAAAATAGTAGAAGTTCAAAATACTATTGAAGAGATCTTGCAAGCTCAGATTTACCACAAAAATTGTTACTGCAAAATGAATACACTCAGATTGAAGGTACTCTGGGATAAGATATTTGATAACAAAATACACATAAAATGAGCTAACTAATGAAGATAAATTTTCGTAGTTACTATGTAATCATAATAGATAGTTTTGTAAATACGTTTTTCAGTTTAAGTCAAATGAAAGCACTACTATTCAACACATTTTTAGAGATGATTTCATATACTTATTATAAAAGATTTCGTGGAGTTTGTAAGCAATAAAAACATTTCTTGCACAGAGTGTCATTTGTTCACTAGATTTATCATCGCTGTCTCGAAACACACATTATTTACTTAATCATATACTAATATAATTCATGTTACATGACCTTTAGTAATGACTTGCAAGTGTTCTTTAGCTTTATGCCTCAACGAAGCAATACTAGAACTTCTTGGATCAGATATTTCTTTAGATGACTGTTCAACTATCTGATCGTCATTGTCCAAAGAGAGATTTAGGGGCGAATTCTTAACCTTGGTAGGTGTATCTGTGGCTACTTGCCCAGAAGTTAAATTAGCAGGAGTGAGATAGCTTGGATACACTGTATGAAGCTGGAAACCAGGTAATCCAGGTAGTCGTAATCCCAAGAGGGAAGGAGTCAACCACGGATCAAATAGCATGGGAGCATTGGACCCCAGGTGACTCCCCACTGATGTCATACATGGGACGCCGGGACTCAGAGGTGTTCCGGTAACAGACGTATTGTTTATAGGAGACTGTGATCTGGAATTGGAACTTAGAAGACTGGAGCTGACGTGCCCGAGACTTCGCAAAGCACTCTGGTTCTCAAGTTTCTCTTGTCGGCGCCATTTTGCTCGTCTGTTTTGAAACCAGACCTGGAAAAAAAATTGCAATAAATTTTATGCACAAAGTCTAGTTACAAGCTTTATAGATAAAAATATACAGGGTGGTCATAAGAAGCGTCCCCGATGTATGAATCCTTAGCGGCCTAACCGCTCAACTAATCGAAATGAAATTTCAGGTACATTTTTATGCTATTTGAAGGTATGTACTCTAGATTGCGATGATTTAAAGCAACAACGGTTCCGGTTACAGTCAAAACATTTCGAAACTTGCGAATGGTAATACCCACTTTTTTCTGAGCAAACTGATCAGCGCACCGAAGAAACATAAATGGCGCTGATATGAATTCCAATAAAACGCTGTTATTGGAACTATAAGCTTTCAACGTGCCTACCTTCACAGACGATAACGCATTGGATGTTGGAGATTGTTGACAATAACGAGAACGTAACATCGCAATAGGAACCTGTATAGCTTCGCATTTTATGACATCTTTCAGTTCTGACAAATCTCGTCAATTTGATGTGTAAACCTCAGATTTCAAGTAACCTCATAATTAGAAATCCATCGTAGTAATGTCCGGTGATCGCGGTGGCCACGTATCTATCTTGAAACATTATATACTTTGAAAATTTGTAATTCCAATAAAAAATAGTTTCCCTCTCCTATTATGTGCTATCAGTAGTCCTTTACAATTATTATTCTTTGCAAACGAATTACGCCGGTAATTTTCGCCATACATGCGTAGTCTCAACACCATTTATGGTTCTTCAATACGCTGATTGATTTGCGGAGGAAAAAAATGGGGGTTGCCATTCGAAAATTTCGAAATATTTTCACTATAGTCGTAACTGTGAGAGTTCTATTGTCTTAAATCATCACAATTCCGTGCATATACCTTCAAATAATAATATCTGAAATATCATTTCAAATGGTTGAGCTCTTTGCTTTCGCTCTTCAGAAATCTCGAGGACGTTTAGTAGTTAGAGAAGAAAACGTTAGTATTTAACTTTTTAGTAGTTTAAAGTGTAGCTTCTGATTATATTGAGTAATATTGTACGAATATCGTTGAGGAAAAATCCAGCGTTCTGTTACATATTACTTTTGATAGGAATAAATTTTATTAATCCGTTATTTTTTAATTATTTATTGGACTTGTGTATTCAATCTACTACGAACCCGTACGCACGCAATAGTATTAAGGTTTCAGTTATTTAATATGTTATTTGCATATGCACAGCTTTTATTTACCTACTTGCAAAAAAAAAAGTATATATATCCAAATATATCCATTATTTTTTTAAAGATTTGTTTAATATATTAATTGTTCAGAAATAGCAAAATGTTATATTTTTTCTTATATCAGAAGTAGTCCATGCATAAAAAGAGTTTCCCTTTTTGCTATTCATAGCTATTTCTCTCAGTAACAATAGAAAAGTTTGTAGTTGTAAGACCGAAGATTTGAAAACCGCATTTATTTATGAATTGGACCTCCAAGTATGAATGATAGTAACCTGCTAACAGATAATTAGATTCGCCTACCAGGCGAAGATTCATAACTAGATGCATCTATAAAGAAATTCAGTAACTAAATTTTAAAGAATTTAATTACTGTTCATCAAAGTTATCTATTAATTCCATAATTTGACTGAAGGTCTTCAGTTTATCAAGTGGAGAATTCAAAGTTTTTAGTGATTGTGCCTGCGGAATGACGCTGGAAATCAAGTTCACCCTAGACACGTGTAGAGACATTAGGTATTTTTTGAAGCAGGCAAAATGAAAAATTAGCATCGCCTTCGCCGGGAATCGAACCACGGACCTCTGGAATACCAGTCCAGCGTGCAGAACCACTACATCACGATGGCACGCTAGTATGGCGGGAGAAATACCTTATATACTTAAGACATGAAATGGCCTATGAAACATCTGCTGGCTTTTCTTTAGAGCTTTTGAGGGGTTGAATAGAGGAATTTTGATAATTCCATCTTTAAATGCTTAAAGAAGTCTTTTGGTTGGTCTTTAAATTTCGGTGTCGTTACTTCCACCAGCAGCCGAATGGTTACGACCGCTGAATGCTAGGGGTTCTATTCCAGGCGAACGCTGCGGCTACAGGGTACCTGTTTTTTGTGTTTTTCTCTGTGTACTTGAATTTGGGCTAGTTTCGTTTAGAATGTCCTCCGGGAAGATATCCCTGCTCCTAGGCAGATAATCTTCCTGCGCTTTGCCATATTCAAACGCCTAACCTAACCAGTCTCGTTATTTTCTCAGGAATACTTCATGTTTAGGAAATTAAGCGCATTCAGTATAATTGGCTGTATGTTTTTCTCCTAGCAATGGTGCAGTTCCGTTTATCTTTTTTCGGTTGATCTTTACATTATGGTAACTTGGCGATTTTTTGGCGAAAATTTGGCGACCAACTCTCCTACAGCAACCCTCTATTTTTTTCCCCGCCGCCATTTTGTCTTCACGAAGTAAAGACATGTTTCTTTTCTTTTTATCTACTGAACACTTCTTCCAACAATCTACCAGCCGAATTACACTTATGCTAGAAATTTTATCTAACAAAACTGCTTAATCATGACAAATATTCACTGCAAAATTGGGAAAAAGTGCAGAATACCATACTACTTACGCGTTTTTCAAAATAACACAATACACATAAACCATGTACACGTCGACTCATTTTTACTTAAAAAAACATCCCAGAATTACACAAAAAATGGCATTGCGCACACTCTTCACTATATCCATGTACACTGCTTTTTTCTCATAAATTAGAAAAATTTCACGAAAATACATGACAATTTTCTGAATCTTTAAACCCGGTAAAAAGAACATATATGAAATTACCTGATCGCAAAAAAGTATATACCCTATCCAAATATGAACATTTCCACATATGAAATAAATAAAATATCCAAAAACTTTTACCTCTAAATCATCTATTATATTATAAATGTCACCAACGAATTCATACCGCAAACATTACAAATACTTAGTGTCAAATATTTAAATTATTTTCATGCACGTTTACTTCAACTAAAACGTATACCAAATTCCTACAAACATAAAATTCACAAAATAACTATCATTTAATTAAAATATAATTAAATTCAAAAACACTACTTAAATTATAAATAAGCACATGCATTAAATTAATAAAAATTAGCTTACAATCCTAATTACTTTAAGCTAAATCATTGCTAATAACAATTTTCCCAATAATACCAAATTACTTCACTTCCACCTTACATTTAGAACAATGCATAAAAATAATATCCTCAAATAATTAAAAATACTAACTTACCTAATCTTCTTCAGAATCTTGATTACGTGTCCGATAAACGTTTCTTTATTTCTGTTTCAAGATCTTTAAAATCATACTTATAGTTCACAGCAAGGTACCAGGTAAAATAAATAACTTAATAAAACATCTTTACTTCTATCTCGCACAACCTTAAAGAAACACTTATTACTACCCCTTTCAATCCTACTAAATACCCATTTCGAATTCACTTTAGTTAGGGCCATGGGATCCAAAAATTAACGAACATTCTTTCACACAACACAGAATAAAGCCAAAGACAAAATTTCCAGATTTTTTCCCGATTTCCCCCCTTTTCCGATTAAAGAACCGTAATTCGTCCATTAATATCACATGACATATCCCATGATCTCTCATTTCCCTCACACAAAATAATGCGTAATCGGAACTGAGTACTGCTCACATTATTACCAAAGTCCCAGGTAGTAACCTTTATCGCCTCCAAAACGTCGCCAAACTACCAGTTACCATATTCTAAAGATCAGCCCTTTTTTCAACTGGTAATCGTAAGATCTGTAGTTTCTTCTACATTTATGAGACCATGGAAGATTATAACATCTCATTTGGCTATTCTCAAATTTCTACAAGTTAAAACACTGTGTGGAGCCTAATCTTGGTTTGTAGCTTCCAGTGTTTATACGGGGGGAAGTGTGAGGATCGTAAGATTTGTAGTTTCTTCTTCATTTATGAGACCACGGAGGATTGTAACAGCTCATTTGGCTATTCTCAAATTTCTGCAAGTTAAAACACTGCGTGGAGCCTAATCTTGGTTTGTAGCTTCCAGTGTTCGTACGGAAGTGTGAGGAATGCAGTAAATTATGAATCACATTTCGTTTGTATGTTCGCTAAAGTTCCCAAAAATGGGACTATAATCTTAGTCTTTCATGGTGAATTAGCTGACTTAAAGGACAATCAATTTCCTATCAGGTCTTTCTCGGTATCTTGTTCAATATCATCTATTAGTATGTCCTTGATTATTGCTTTTACCGTTTTTTAGTGTTCAAAACATAGATATGAAACGTTATAGACTTTGCGTAGCCAGCTGCTCAGAAATCATCATTATCCTTTAAAAAAATTCTCAGCTGCCAATTTTTGATTTCGACTCGTTATATATAAGTTATTAAAGAATAAGATGTTTCTATGCGATGAATCAGTTAGCCAAAAGCCCAATACAAATGTGTGCACACATACAGTGCTACAGTGCACATAAGCGTACAAACACATATATACGCATACACTGCACATATGCTTGCAAAACTCAAATCAAGTAAAAGAAGCAAGATTGCATTTAAAAGGTTGAAGCTAGTTGCCATATGCGTCGGTTGCAAAATCAGACTTGTTTGTAAAGGGTTCAATAAATGATAAAGAATAAAATCTTTAAATATTTCAGTTGTAAAATTTTATTATTATTATTATTTTAGTTTAATGCCATGTAAACTTGTACTCGTGTAGTGTAAAATATGAAAGGTCCGTCAAAAAAATAGAAATCAAACTCTTAATAGAGAGAAATAATTATATACAAAAGTATGCGGTAGTACCTCGGTATATGTCAGCTTTGAAATGCATCCAACTTGCTGTGCATTGTGTTTGGACGTAAATTTATTTTTCATTCTATATTTGTTTGGAATACATCTCGAGTTCGGTAAAGTCACGTCTGCGCTAGTTTATCTCTTTCTAGACAATGTAATGACTGCCCATGAGCATCAG